TCCCTTCTATTCCCTTCTATTCTTCTATTCTATTCTTCTATTCTATTATCTATTCTCTTCTATTTCTCTTCTCTTCTCTATTCTATTTCTCTTCTCTATTCTATTCTTCTCTTCTCTTCTCTTCTCTTCTCTTCTCTTCTCTTCTCTTCTCTTCTCTTCTCTTCTCTTCCTCTCCTCTCCCCTCCCCTCTTCTCTTCTCTTCCATTCCCATATTTTCTATTCTATTCTCTTTTCTCTTCTCTTCTATTCCTTCTGTATTCTATTATTCTCTTCTTAAATATTCAAGTTGCACTTTGAGGGAGTCAAATTACCTGTCTCCCTTTCCTGCAGGTGACTATTTGGGAAGCGTTAACCAACAGCAAACCAGGTACGCTGCCAGTGTCCCAGGAAGGGCGCAGAGTCAACAGGTGAGGTCCTCTCCCAGTTTCACTTCCTCTTTGGGATGTGTCAATTTCACATCCTTGCTCTGAATATTTGTCAATTTCACGCTCTTACAGGCAATCCTCGACTTACAACCAGTCAGTTTAGTGACCATTCGAAGTTAGAACAGCGCTGGGGAAAAAAAGTGTCTCACCTCTGTTTTTCACACTTACGACCTCATGTGATCCAAATTCAGACCGCTTGGCAACTGACTCATATTTATGACGGTTGCAGGGTCCGGGGGGGGCAGTCACGTGATCGATCCCCTTTTGCATCCATCTGACGGGCAAAGTCAACGGGGGAAGCCAGATTCACTTAACAACCGTGTGACTCACTGAATGACTGCAGTGATTCACTTAACAATGGTGGCAGGAACGGTCATAAAATGGGGCAAAACTCACTTAACAACCGTCTCGCTTTAGTGACAGGCATTTTGGGCTCAACTGTGGTCGTAAGTCAAGGACTCCGTATAGATCTCTCTCTTTTCTTATTTGGCACGGCTGGAGGCAAAATCCAACCTATTTGCTTAGTAAATGCGTTAAATCCAGAAGGATGTGAATTTAGACAGATGCGTAACTAGTCAAAAAAATTTTTTACTCTCCAGCTGGGTTTAAACAGCGTTGTAATCTGGTTTTTTTCTCCAATTTAATCCAGTTTTTTCTGGATATGCGGTATTATCATCTAACACAAACAGGTTGAATTAAACACTAGACAAATAAGTCACACAACAAAATAACTGGGCGTGAGGGAGGCTTAAAGTTAAGCAGTGTGAATATTTGTAGCTCAGGGATTAAAATGAGGGGCCCCTGGTGGTCCCTGAGCTGGGTAGTTTCCTTGCAGACATTTCATGACCCAACTAGGTAACATCATCCGTGTTAGAAGGGAGTGGGGGTATACATGGAGTGGAGGAGAAGGAGCCAGGGGAGGAGGAGGATTTGGGGGTTCTTGGTGCAGTTTGGGCTTAGTTGTTTTCTTGCAGACATTTCACGACCCAAACTGGGTAACATCATCAGTGCTGTTAAGGTGCTAGTAAAGATTCCTTGATACCAGTAGCACTGATGACGTTACCTAGTTTGGGTCGTGAAATGTCTTCAAGAAAATATCCAAGCTCAGAGAGCATCGAGGACCTCACAGTTCAACCTTGAGCTACAAATACTCCCTTCTATTGGTCAAGGACAATTCCTCCTCCTCCTCCTCCTCCTCTCCCTCCCTCCACAAACCCGCCTCCCTTCTAGCACTGATGATGTTACCTAGTTGGGTCATGAAACGTCTGCAATAAAACAACCCAGCTCAGAGAGCACTAATGAACCCGCAGTCCTTCCTCCTCCTCCTCCTCCTCCTCCTCCTCCTCCTCCTCCTCCTCCTCCTCACTCCCTCCCCCACAAACCCCCCTCCCCTCTAGCACTGACGATATTCCCTAGTTGGGTCATGAAACGTCTGCAAGAAAATCGCCAAGCTGAGAGAGCACTGATGAACCCACACTCCTCCTCCTCCTTCTCTTCCTCCTCTCCTCCTTTTCTTCCTCCTCCTCCTCCCTCCCTCCCCAAACCCCCTCTCCCTTCTAGCACTGATGATATTCCCTAGTTGGGTCATGAAACGTCTGCAAGAAAACCGCCAAGGAGCCCTCCACCCACAAAGGGAGCACAACTCAGGGGTCCACGAAGAACCATTGTTAGGAGGCGTCCCACACCACCAGATCCTCGGCTAACCTCTCTTCCTTTTCTCCTTCCCCCCCCTGCCTCCACCAGGACACCCCAGCACACGCCACCCCCGCGGCCTGCCACCCCGCAGCCGCCGCCCCCCGCAGCAGGCCGTGGGCCCGGCCACGGCCTGCCCACCTACGCCGAGCAGCTGCGCCTGGCCATGGCGCTCTCCGCCAAAGAGCAAGAAGAGGCCGAACGCCGTTTGCGCCTGGAGCAGGAAGAGCTCGAACGGATCCTGCGCCTCTCCCTCACCGAACAATAGGATCTCTCTCTCTCTCTCCTCCCCCCCCCTACTCCGAGGGTCTTGGGGGGGGGCCACGCACACACAGCCCCGGCCAGTCCCCTGAGGGGGGCGGGGGAGGGCACCAGCCAGCGCTTAACAAGACTGTGCCTTCCCCAGTTTGAGCTCAGCTCATGCACAAAGCTGAGTAGCCCCAGGACGGAGCGGGGCGGGGTGTGTGTGTGTGTGTGTTGGGGGGGCCACAGTCAGGGAAGTGGGGGGCACTGGCAGGGGTGGGGGGGGGGCCCTGACACATTTCCCCTCTCACAGTTGAGCCATTTAATTCAACCCTCCTGGGACGGTGGGAGGGTTTAATCCGGCCAAGGTTGGACACTGTCCAGCTCTCTTCCCCGTCGCTCATTGCGGTAAAATGGGGGAGGGGGTTTCCTTCCCCCTTTTTTTTCAGGCGGGGGGGGGGGAGCAGGCTGCAAGGCTCTGGGTTCCATCCATTGGGCAGGTGCATCTCAGCCATCGGGGCACAATTCCTCCAGAACGCCACTAGAGGGTGCCAGCACTCTCCGTCGGCGCTGCCCTCTAGTGGCCAGCTTGGGTTTTTTGGGGGTGTTTTTTTTTTGCAAACCGAATTCAAGACCCCAATTCTTCACCTGGGTGCAATTGGAGAGGGGCGGGAAGCTGGGGGGGAGCCAATTTGGGTGGGGCGGGGTGGGGGAAGCAAATTGGGAAGCTTAACACCTTAATTGTTGGAAATGCTGAGTTCCCGGCTTGAGCAGGTTGGACTAGACAACCTCCAGGGGGCCCCCTTTCAGTCCTAATTACAGGTAGTTCTCAACTTGCAACCATTTTGTTTGGGGACCGTTTGACTTTGACAACAGCATTGAACGCTGTGACTTATGACCATTTCCTTCCCCCCCCCCATTCCCCCCCCCGCCCAACTTTTGCCAAAAACGACATAAAATGTGGTCACGTCACTGTGAGAAGCGGGAAAGTAATTGTGTCCGAAAGCCAACATGTGGCCATATGATCATTTTTTTGGGGGGGGGGGAGGAGCAGCCTTTGGAACTTCAGAACTGTGGGGGGGGGATCCATTCCCCCAAAACTGGTCGTAAGTCAAGGAGCAGGTCATCCTCGACTTACGACCACAATGGAGGCCGAGCTTTCCGTTGCTAAGCAAGACTGTTGCTCAGACGAGTTCTGCCGCCTTTTTTAAACGATCTTTCTTGCCGGTCGTTAAGCGAATCGCGGCGACCATTAAAAGTCCGTCCCCTAGTTGTTAAGTGAATCTGGCTTCCCCCCCCCGCCCCAGACGGTCACAAAAGGGGATCGTGTGACCTGCCGGCCCCCCTCTGGGGAACATTGCGACCGTCACACATTGCGCGCCGAATGTTGAGGCTGCAACGGCCGTCGGTGCGAGAAACATTTCAAATTCTAACAGGTTGGTGGGAGGAGCTGGCTGGCTGTGGTGTAGGGCCTCTTGCTTGGGGGGGTGGGGTTAGACTAGATGACCTACAAGTTCCCTTCCAACTCTCGATATCTGTTAAACGGGTCATAAGTCACTGTTTTCCCTCAGCGCCGTCGTCGTAACGTCGGCCGTTCCGTAGAACCATCGCAAGTCGAGGACTACCTGTTTTGAAATCAGGAAAGGCCGAATGCAAGAAGGAGGAGGATGAGGAAAAGAAAAAAGGAGAAATGAACCAGGAATGAATCCTGGTTTAATTTAGCACAGAACAAACCTGAATTCGGGGACGAGCACATGAAAAATAAAAAATAAAAATAAAAAGCGGGCCCGGCTTGGCGCCATCCCGGCCGCCATCTTTCCCCTTTTTTCTCCCGCCTTCCCAGGAGCCAAGCAAAACTTTTCCCACTTTGTCGAGCACAAAAATGACCCCCCCAAACCCCCCCCC